TTAAATCGAAGGTTTTACTTTGTTCTTTCTACTTTGTATCGTCTCGTGGCACAAGTGTATTGAATTGGAAGCTACGCGATGAGTATCCGGTAATTTTGTTCTGCGTGCATTTGAAATCGATTGTTCAGAATTATTTTCCCCTTTCTTAATTAAAGTTTTCTATATAATAGTTTCTTTCAGGATGCAAATTATTTTTATCTTTTAAATGGAAATTAAAAGAATCTATATACAGTGGAAAGATTAAAAATAAGAAAAATCTTTGTATTTAAAGATATACAAATATTTCTGTAATGTTATATGCACAAATAGGATAGGAGAAATTTTTATGATATTAATGCTATTTGTTAGAAATTGAATTGAATTAGAAAACAAACATTTTTCTATTTGCATTTTCGCCATTATTCTTTGTAAACAATCTGTATATATTTATTTAAACGTGAATGACGAAGAAAATTATTAAACTTTTTTAATTATCTCAAATATTTTGAAATGATAAATAAGAATATATTATAAATAAGAAAATATAATAATATTAGGATATATAAAATAATAAAAAATAGTAGGATCGAGATAAATATTAATGATATAATAACACGTGAACACTTTCATTTAACTCAGATTTAAAATCTCGCCTAGATTTCACGTGAAACTTGGATCAATGTCTCGATTAAGCCAATAAAGATTATCGATATCCAATCTAAACGTGTTATGAGGATTCCACGTCACTCTAATCCAAGCATTTAGCTTCGACCAATGTTTACACTTACTCGAAAAAATCCAATCGGCCACGTTCGTATGTCACGTTTAAAATTTGACTGGGGCCGATATCAGCGGAGCCTCTCACGATTATCACGAGCGAGACACCGATCATGGTCAAACCTTGTATAACGTCTGAGAGGATGGCCGCTTTCAGTCCTCCCTGCGAATGCAAACATGAAATTCATGAGTTTTTTTACTCAAAATTTTAAAGCGATAATTTTTTTTTCAGAATTTTTTGGGAATTGTTTTTAAAATTTTTGAAGTGGTTTAACTTTTTATACCCCTTTTAAAATTTCTATGGGATAATTTAAATTTTAATTGAACGATAACTAATTTTTGTGATCTGATTCAAATTTTAGAGATTAATTCTCAATATTAAGAGATGTAATTCCTTTCTACCACTCTTTATCATTTTTTCATCTTTATCACCTTTCTCTCCCTCTTTATCATCTTTTAATAGCAACTTTCATTCTTAACGCAATCCACTTGAGAGAAAAATAACGATTTTCGAAAAAAACAATTTCTCTTATTTTCAAATATATTCGCAACGACGCACACAATAACACATTCAATTCCTGTATTGAATCGCTACGAATACAAATTTCTCTAATTGCAAAGCACCGCGTTTTTTTTAATATTTTCTTTACCATCACCATAAATTCGCGAGCTACGAAAAAAAAAAAGAAAAAAAGAAAAAAATTGCAAACACAGACAGAAAGAGAGAGAGAGAGAAAGATGGATATTTAATCCGACGGACGAAAAAGCGAAAATCGCGCGTTTGGACGCGGGAATATGCAAGGGAATATTTCAAACGAATTGAAAATTATTGGACGACACGGAAATGAATTCACGTGTACGACGCACGGGAAAGGCGAGTATAAAATGGACATTTTCGCGTGGTTCCCTTGCCTCCTGCGTTGTTCCACGGGAATTTTACGATCACGCGTGTTGTATTTACGATGCTTTCGATGGGAGGAAATGCCCTTTCGAACGGCCAACCCCTCTCGGATACAGAATAATTGATGGGGCGAAAATGCGGCGGCTATAGTAAGGATTTTAAATGAATCAGCGCGAAAAATCATCGCCCTCTTGGCTTTCTTCTCCTTTCTTTTGTCGTTGCTGTGTAAATCGCGTGGAATCGTCGATGGTCGATGAACTTTTCTCGAATGAATATTTATGATCCGGAGGCAATATCGTTAGCTTCGTGAAATATTTGGATCGAGATCTAGAATGTAAAAATAAAAATTAAGAGAATTTCTTCGAAATTTGAATTTGAGAAAATTTTGTTTGTTTTTTTTTCTCTCTCTCTCTCTCTCGTTCTATTAATCGCAGTGGACGAGTATCCATATTGATAGATGTTTTTCTAAAATGTGTATTTAAAATAGCATCAAATAAGTATATTATATTATGATTACGAAGCGAGTTCGAGCTGATTTTTTGCTGAATTTTTATAAACTCGAACATATAAATTATTCATTACTTTTTTTTTAGCATAACAAGTTCGACGCTATAGATTAATGCTCGTGTTTATTCGCATTTTAATAATAAAGGAAAAAAAAGTTTAAAATACAAAATGGAATTAAGATTAAATTTTACGATGTTTGCTTCGTAAGATTTCCATAAGTGTATAAATATCTATAGATTTGGTAGATAAATTTCTCTCTAAATATTTAGCGTTTAAATATTAAGAAAATTTCACGGTCTTATTAACCTTTCAATACCACCGAGAAAAATGAACTGTTAATTTTTTTATTTATTTGCACGTCTATATTCTGAAAAAAAAATTTTTTTCAGTTCGTGACGCGATCACCTGCCATGGAAATTCCCATGACGCGTACGTTCACGTCATCCGCATTAAATGTATTAATCAATTGATTTAGACTAACTTTCGATTTCACGATTATTTCCGATTCTAAATAAATACGATTAGCGAGTTTCAACATTTTTTTTTTTGTCCCAAAAATTGATATAAGAAATCAGGTTAAACCGTGAATACATTTGAGAATAAAACTCTCTAGAGTTTGCTTTAAAAAATTATTTCTCGCTAATGCATCGAAATTAATTATCCGGGAGTAATTGTCTCAAGTTATATTCACATCTTTAAATTGAAAATTACACTGTTGGACTGTGTATACATTCGAGAAAAAAAATTTTCAAGAATTACTTAGAAAAAAAAAAAAAAAATAACAATTTTCCATTAAAAGTTACATTAGAAATAATCCAATATCGCGTTCATTTCAAGAGCAAGCAATTCTCGATAATTTTCTTTTCAAATTACATTCACAAATTACATTACCGTTGAACGTAAAATTACACTCACCATAATTGAAAAGACGACAGATATAGATGTAATACCGACTATACTGGCCCAGTAAGGCAAGCCAATCACAGCCTTAAGAGCTACGCAAGGCGTGAATATCGTGACGGCCAAGTTCAGCAGGCTTCGTATCACGTAGGAGAAGCTTGCGAGGCATCTGACTAGCTTCGACTTGAACCTGGGAAATTAGCATAATTACGAGAGGTCTATTCTCCGCTTGTATATTACAGCCGGACATAATCGTTAAGCGGGAATATCGTCTCAAGGTTCATGGGAAAAAATTCAACTCTAAAAACTTTTTCGAAACAATCGTTTTCCATCCGAGAGAAAGTCTATCTAGACGGATAAGAATTTTTAGCGAGAGGAAAAAAAAGGAAAAAAAAAAAAAAAAAAAAAAAAAAAAAAAAAAAAAAAAAGAAAGAAAAAAATAGGAGGCGGATTTATACGGTGGCTGGTACCACGTAAATTGAAAATGTAAAATAGCCTGGTTCCAGGCAAGCAAACGACGATATCGAGCTGCTCGAGAGAGCATATCGTGTACAAGGTGAATTCAAATTTTCCCCGTGATCCGTCACGTGTGTCCGCGTGATTTCGAGGCGAATTATTTCTGGGAAGATATCTCGAATGATCTAGTCTATTAACTTTACATTGTGCCTTCCATTACTTAATTGTTGTGTTCATACAAAAAAAAAAAAACGTGATGTGTTTAAAAAAAACTTCCGGTTGGCGGCAATTTTCCTCTCAATGTATAGGGTATTTCATCAGAGATTAGAAATAATTGAAATAATGGCCGAAATAATTTCGAAATTGTTCATTATACTGAAAACGTTGAGTAATTTTTTGTAAGTATGGAAGATCAAGTTTCTTTCTTTGAATAGTTATACCTATATATATAGTTAATCATTAAATAATAATTATTCTATTTTATCAAAGAATAAATCCTAAAATATAGAAAGTTTCAAAGATGGAAGTACAATTTAATTTAATTTCAACGATGAAACGCCCTATATATATTTAAAAAAAAAAAAAAAAAAAAGAAAAAAAAAAA